GTTGGAAAGACTGAAGGTTGTTTCCCACAAGATAGATGAGCATTTTATCAACTACAGCAATTAAACTTCATTGCCTTTTTCAACCCCATGGCCCATGCTACCGTTTCTGATTTTTATAAAATCTTATAGTATAGTGCTTAATCCCCCTCCATAAAAATACTTTATCTTCTATTAGGTTCTTAAAATGCTCAGATGATTTTGATATCCCAGGATTCAATTGAGGAACAATATCATTATCAGCTGTTAAATATTCCTTGTTGAAACTTGCTGAAAAATTTACTGTAACACAATTGGTATTATCTATACTTTTTGAAATTAAGTAGAAGTTCAGTTAGATTGCAGTTACACTTGAGTGAAATTTGTGAACATTGTTATTTCAGATATGCACCTGCAACCCAGCTTTGGCAAGGCAGACTCCATGTGATGGGTAGCGCAAAGAGAACCGGCATACACTTGGATTAGAGCACTGGAGTATTGCTGTGAAAGATGGCAAAGCTTTAGAAAAGGACTGGAAGTCTGGAACGAACCCAAGATTCCAACCCTACATTGATCCCAAATTTCCAATTAATTTAATTTGCGAAGGGGGAAATCACCCTAGCCCAACCACTTTCGCGCACGGTGAATTTGTTCTAGCTATTGTCCGAGAAAGAATTTTGTTGTATTTGTCGAATTATGTTTGTTGTAAGACTTCACTTGCTGTTCGTTTTAGTAGTTCCATTATATTGTAATGAAACTTTTATATATGTAAGTTGAGCACTGAAAATCTGATAAAGTTGCTTTTAATAAAGTTTAGCTTAGCTTTTATATTCTTCCTTTGAACAATGGTGTTGCTAGTTCTTTCGCAAGATAGGACCCCTTGCAATGGACTATGAACAATATTCAAACTGTTATCCCAGATGCTGGCTGCCCAAACTGTTAACCAAACAGACAGTTCAAACACTTTTTAAAGACTGAAATATACATCTAAGATTGCATTATAGATTGATAACAGACGATTGATAACAGATTGATAACTGAGATTTGCTGGAAGAACATTTGCATCTACATTCCCTTCTCACAGACGATTGATAACATATTCGACCTTGGATGCATTACAAAAGAAAACAGTGGAATTGTTTTACAATTGGTTTACAAATTTAAAACAAATAAATTCAATAATCTGAAAACCACAAATGTTTTTTTGCTACTTAAATTACTTCACTGTGCTTTCTTTGTGGTATTAATGGAAGTTTTTTTGACGTTATTTGCGTCGTCGAGATGTTATGTTTTTTGTTCAATCACTGGGAATAATGCAAACATGGCGTATCCATTTAAATGCAATATGATGCATTAGAACTCTGCTGCATCAGATTGCATTTAACTGGTGCAATATGATGCATCATACTGTTGATGCATCAGGTTGATACCGGTATAGTTGATTGCCCGTATAGCTGATTATTTCCTACTACAATCATGTATATCAATTTTTCATTCTCTTCACTCAAGTTGTTCTTGGATTGTCTGCCTCATCAAATAGCCACCAGCAACCTCCATCATCACTATAACCAGCAATTATCATATAAAAAACACTAACAGATTAGTATTTAGGAATAAATCCTTAAAACACATGAAGGATTAAATTCCATTCCATTCAATTATAGTTGCAATACACATTCAACACAAGCCACCAATTTTTCCTACTACAATACAAGGAAAATGTTAATGTGGTGGCACCAATATTGAAGACAATTTTTCCTACTACAATTTTTCCGGTCTGTCATTGCATGAAGACCAGCAGCAACCCAATTAATAGCCTTATATACAACCAGCAGCAACCCCTTCAACATGGACTGCGATGACAGGAAAGTTTAGCATCAGCTGCTGGTATTGAAGGCAGTATGAACATCACAACACAAGCAAATGGAGATTGTTAAAATCATTAGAAAAAGGTCATTAGAAAACCTTTTCCTCAAGAGCTTATTTACTTAATTCACCATCTCTCATCTTCTCCATCATACTTGATAGCATCAAAGAAGCAGAACTCTTCATTTCACTAGACTTTTCACTGATATCTCCCCGAGGATCTGCACTGGTTCTCAAATCCATAGAGGCCAAGTTGACAGGTTCAATGCATTCTGTGATCAGCAAATCTTCATTAGCATGAGATGAAGAACATCTTCTTTCACCAAAGTACTCAAGGGATGCATGTTTAGAAATATGCAATCCATTTTCAGACAATGAATTGCCAGCTAAATACCCGGATATTTGCTATCGCCATCAACTACATTAGAGCACGGACTTCGGTCTCCAGCTATTTGACTGTCAGGAGATAACTTCGACTTTGCATGATCGTGCGT